GGTACAGTGCAGGGAAAAGAGGCAAAAAGAGACTTCACATGAGCCTTGGCAGGGCCTGAAGTAGAGGAAAGGTAAGCAAAATTGAGTGAATCCTGCACTACAGACATCACGCCACTAGGAAGAACCCCGGCTCAGAGCACGGCAAGGCTGCTTGGGAATTGTGCAATGGCTCAGACGCAAATTGTGCCCTGCTCTTCCCAATCTTGGCTGACATTCTTCCTGGCACCCACTCAGCACACTCCTGGGCTCCGGGTAACAGGAGCTTTGGCCCCTCCCCTAGCCCCAGAATTAAGTTTGCCTCCAGCAGTTCTGAGGCTGGGCTCTTCCAGGCCCTTCTCCCAATCCCCTGTACCTGCTTCATAAGAAAAACCATCAACTGTGGATGGCCCAACCTCTCAGGTCCCAAGGAGTGGAAACATCTTCTTAAACCAGGTCCCAGTACCTTCTTCCTCCCACAAAGGAGTTCTTTTGTTTCCTAGACACCCACCAATATTTGGCCCTGAGGCCCAGGGACTGCTTTTCTCTCCCCTCCTGTCAGCCACTGATCCCATATCTTAGCTGGAGATTATCTCCAAGCTCAGTCAAAGCCAAGAATTTACAAATAAAAAAGGACAATGAACAGACCCAGCTTTGATCCTGCCTCAATGGATGCCAAGAGCAGTGCTGCAGGAGCCAGGGGTCAGGGCCAGGGTCAGGAGGGACAGGATCTCTGAAACCAGAAACCCAACCCTTCCTTGATAATTCTGCAAGCCCAACCTCAATGATTCCTAACCTTTTTTGACACCTTCATACCCCTCAAACACTTTAAAACCTGCTTTGACACAAGATGGGTTAGCTTCAATTTTGAGCCGCCAACCCCTGACCACTCTGACCTCCTGTTCCTCCCCTCAGTTCTAGCCAGGCCAGTGTCACTACACCTGTCACAGACTTGCTCACTCCTCAGAGGCACAGCAATGTCCCACTGACCCCAGCTGGAGCCTCCCTTAGCTCCTGGAGTCATCACAGATTCCCGTCTTTCAAAGCTCCTCTACTCCCAGCCACGCGATTTAGCTCCTAGACCAGCAAAGTGTAGGAGAACTTTCTGCAAGGATGAAAATGTTCTTCTGCACTGTTCAATAGCCATTAGCCACATGTTTACTAAACACTTGAAGTGTGGATAGCAACTGATCTTTCAAATTTAATTTAGTTTAATCCCTTCACGTTAATTCATTTTAATTTAATTAGCCATGTGAGGGTACTGGCCACCAAACCGGACAGTACAGCCCTAACCTACGTGTGTTAATTTCACCTTCTCCAAACAGGTTTCTTGACTCAAAATCTTAAAGACCACTTTTTACATGTGAATCCTCCATGCAACTAAGCTTATGACAGATACTGAGTAAACTGTTACCGACCTGTAACCATACTGCATATAAAAGTCAATGAAACTTTCCTCACCTTGTGACTCCAGCAAACTCCAGTTTGGGACACTGCCTCTGACCAGCCACACTACCTGTCTTACTCTCCACAGGTACACAGTATGAAGTGTGCTGGAGGAGACGGTGCCTGTACTGTGAGGATGTGGGAGTTCTGGAATTTCCCTCCAACAGCATCCAGAATCATCATGAGAGGTTCCAATCATCTCCCCTTCATGAGAACAAAGGAAGCCACATCGCAGTGGCACTTCCATGACCTACGGAGAGAGGACTGCTGGAGAAAGGAAAGGAAAAGAGACTACAGAACCTTGTTTTCTCTAATCCATGCAATGGAAAGATACACAGAGGTAAGTTATGACAACACTGTCTATTTTATAAAGCAATAACATGCTTCATCTAATCAGAATGGCACAGCAGAAGAGGACAACGATACAGTCTTTAATTAAATTTGTTGAGCTAACACCTAAGGGTCACCACGACACAGTGAAGTGGCAAGCAGCTGAGGAACCCTCCCAGGGAATACAACTAATTAATACATAAGTGGGTTGAGATTAGGTGTCGTTATCAAAGAAATAACAGAATTCCCACGTTCTTGTACAAAAGATAACAAGATTTCTATCAAATACTCCCTTAAAAGGGGGATGGAGTGTTAAAAAAAAAAAATGCATGGAGCTACTGTTGAAGCTCCCTGCCAACTTTGGGGACCCAGCTCAGGAGCAGCAAATGCCCACCCAGCCCCCTTTGCTGACCTCAAAGAAGGACCTGAGGTAAGAGAACAGCTCCTCAGGCTGGAGGCACCCTGGAGCAGCAGCCAGCCATGTCCCTGAGCCTGTGACTCAGTTAGGAAGTAAGCGAGAAGCCTGAGACTGGGAGTCAGGCAACCTGGGTTCCAATCCTGCCTCTGCCAAGTGAATGGCTATGGTACCTTGAGCAAGTCACTCTCTCACTCTGGGCCTTGGTTTTCTCTTCTGCAAAACCAGGGGGCTACACCAAATGACCTCTCAAGTCCCTTACAACTGTGACTGAAAGTTAGCAAAAGCAGCCAGGAGAGATGGTAAGGTGAGGTCATAGCACCCACCAAAAGCATTTAAATGGGAGCTCTCTGAGGTGGAGGGAGAGAAGCAGCAGGGTGAGCTGGGACTGTTTTTCAAATGCTGATTTCACTTAACAGGGCTAAGACGGGGTCACCAGACTACAGGCAGAGAGAAGCACATCTGGGCAGCTGCCAGTTCCCATCAACTCTCAGGGCTGCGACACAGCAGACTTCTAAACCCCAGCAGAGGCTGGGCTACTGCCCTGCAGCTCTGCCCTAGCCCCCCAACTTCGGCCTCCGCACACTGTGCAGAAGAGAGGTCTCCTCCATTTTTCTCAGGCACCTTCCCAAAGGGGTAATCCCTCCTGCCCCACTCCATCTTCCTCTCCTACTTTATAATCACGAAACTTCTAGTTTCGAAAACTACTTCACTACTCAGCACCTGAGGTTAATCAAAATTCAAGATCTAGAAATCTCTTTGGTGTGTGTCTCTGGAACAGGCTTCTTAGAACCAGATTTCCTTCACAGCTGTAATTATGTCTCAGCCAATATTTGGATACGGAAGTGCTGTTAACACTGCTGTCAGTCTCCAATGCCTTGTCTCTCCTTTCTTTCTCCATTATTAAGTTTTAACACAAAGACGTGTGTGAGAAATCCACAATTTAACAGTTGAGTCAACTTAAAAGATCTGGGAGCAGGCTGCCTGTCAAAACAGACTGACTTCACTCTTCACCCACTTCTAACCTGAAAGAGATAAACTATGAGTGTTATTTAACATGCTGCTGGATCTTTCCTTCCAAAACTATTCAAAGTAGAAAAATATCTGAACCTCTTTCCCGTTAGTTACAAGAGAAATCTGAATTGCCACTCAAAAGCATTTTTTAGTATGGTTTTGTGTGTGTGTGTCTATTATATGGAGCAGAAGTTGGGTGCTTTTGTTCTGAAGTCTTTACATAATATTCCAAATATCCAAGAGAATGAACAGCCAGTATCCCCAAACTGCTGATAGGTGAAAGCAGATGGTGCCTCAGAAGGGACAGAAAACACTCCTGAAAAGACCGTCTATCACTTCCTCAAAAATACAGGTTAACTGTGGTCAAAATGTATTCACCCAACTCCAGTCCCCAAGGTCAGAGCTATGATCAAACCAAACAACAACTCCTCCTGCTCCTTTCCCTTCAGTTATGAGTAAGGAAAGAGAAGTCTGAGGCAAAAATATTGAAGTGTTGAAGATACTTATCCCCTCACCAACAGTCAACGTTAAACAACAACCGAGATCCCACAGCAAGAACCCACAGTAGAAACAAAAAAGAACTGTGATGGTGTTGAGTATGAGAGCATCAAGAAAATAATTCTAGAGGCCTTAAAATCTAGAAATGGAACATGCTTGCCCTGTACAACCCCGAAGCACTGGTGTTCTTTTAAAACATCTTATTGTATATTCCAATAGTTCCACCCATACCTCATTTCTGAGAGTTGTACTTGATAACTGAAATACAGCTGGCTGTGGGGGCTGAGGAAAAAGAGAAAAATATAACACAGGAAGTATTTTTCTCCTTCTCCAATCACTGAGACACCCCAGGGGAAACAGACCTGAGGTGTCACCTTTAGAGATTGGTTTAACCTGAAACCTCTGTGAGAGCAAAACCTTGTTGGTGACCCTGCAAGACTGGCTCACACTTCACTGGGGACCCACCCATCTCATGAGATCTCCCAGCCCATTCTGTTTAACTTCTGAAGTCGATATTCTCACTTGAATCCTTATTCTCCCACCACCGCACCCCTTAAAGAAAGAAAAAGGATGGGCTTCCCTGGCCCAAGGGTAAGGTTTCCTCGGACTGCCCATCATCCCACGCGTCCAGGACAGCAAGTGGCCCTCTCCGGGAGGCAGAATCAGCACGGGCCCGGCCGCGGGTTACTGACTCGGTTCCCAGTGATCAGCAGGGCCGCGGACACCGCCGGCCTCTCTCCGGAGCCGCCTCGCGCAGGCGTGGGTGGGGGCCCGCTCCGCGATCCAAACAATCCCGCCCCCACAGCCGGGGTGCGCCCCGGACCCTCCCGCCGCACACCTCCCGGCCCGCGCGCCCCAAGGCGGCCTGGCTGCCCTCGCGAGGCTCAGGGAAGTGAAATCACACATTCCGGCTCCCAAATAAGGAGCTAGGCTAAATAAACCTCTGCGCTCCGACTTCTCCAAACCAACCGACCAACCGGCTCAATGAGTAATGGGCCTTTTGTGCCCGCAGAGAGAGAAAAACGAGGGAGGAGAAGACGGGGAATCACCATCCCCCGAATCACTTCCTTGAGATGGAGTGAAATTAGCAGAAGTCCCGAAGCCAACCGTTCCGACTCGGCTGGATCCCGCTCAAACGCCAAAATGGCAGAGTCCCCGAGTCCCCGAGTCCCCGGAGCGGGTCCCAGGGCTCCCGCACGGGGGCGGCCGGAAGCGGTCTGGGTGGCGAGCGCGCCGGGACCCGCCGCCCGCCCCGCACTCTGCGCCCCCGGCCCGGCCGCCCCGCCCCGCCCCGCCTCCCCTCCCCCGGCCCCAGACCTACTTTGAGGGCGAATTTCTCCTGGGTCCTCTTGTTGAAGATCTGCAAAACTTTCCCGTTGATGCCCAGCCCCAGGACCTGGCTGGTGACCTTGTAGTCGTCGATGATGGCGTTCTTCTTGATCTGCAGGCCGGACTTGACGTGGAACTGCGGGAACTGCTGCGGGGGCGGCGGCGGCGGCGGCTGCGCCGGGGGGTGCGGCGGGGCAGGGGCGGGGGACTGCGGCGGCGGGGCCGGGGCGGGGAAAGGCACCGGCGGGCTCTGGCCCTGGGAGTTGGACAGCATGGTGCCCGGGGACGCGGGGGCGCGGGCCGGGCTGCCCGCAGCCGCCCCCTCCTCCGGCTCCGGGCCCCCTCCCCGCTGCCCCCCGACCGGCTGCGAAGTTCGCTCCGGGCTGGAGCCGGCTTCCCCGCCCCGGCCCGGCTCCAGGCTCGGCGGGTCGCGGGGCTCCGTGAGTCCCACCGCCAGCCACCGGCGCCCACCGGCCCGGCACCCTCCCGCCCTCCCTCCCCCCCCCGGGGGCCTGGCGCTCTGGGGACCGCGGGGCGGCGGGGGCCCGGCCGGGGGGAAGCGGCCGCGCGACAATGTACCCAGCCCCGAGCCGGCGGCCGCGTCACAGCCTTGTCTGCGTCCGGGGCCGGTCCTTAAAGGGGAGGGGAGGGGGCGGAGCCTGGGGAGGCGTGGTATAGGGGCGGGGCGAGCCTTAAAGGGGAGGACGCGAGGGGCCCGGAGCTGGGAGGACCGCGGAGTAGGCTAGGGGCTGCTGCCTGGGGGCCAGGGAGAGGGGACGAAGAAATCCCAGTTCCTAACCAAGGCCATGCAAAGGAGGAGGGGCGGCGTGTCAAAGGAGCCGCATAATTCAGATGGAAAATCCACCCCTCTCCAATTGTCTGGGCCTCTTAGCGGCAGCGAATGGGAGAGGGATGTATTTCCAAGGAGAGGGATGGCTCGTAGGTGTCCAGCTAGATGAGACTTCGGGGGCGAGCTGGAATCACAGGGGTCATTCACCCCAGGGAAAGGTGTGCGCCAAAGGCGGGCGTATGAAATATTTTCTTAACTTAAACTAATTTTCCTCTGAGTCCTTTCCAGCTCTTTTCTCGTGTATTTATTGTTTTTCAGTAAAGACATATTATTGTGTAACCGGGAGCACTTTCGTAATTATACCTTTGAACATGTTTTCATGTAAATAAACGGAAAAGGATGCAGGGTGGGAAGAGGATGGATTGAGATTGGGGCCGCCTGAATTCCCGCCAGCCTTTGCCACGGATTGGCTGTGTGAGGCCGAGCAAGCCTTGCACCTCTCTCTCCATGGGAAGAACAGCGAGACCTTTTCAAAGGTTGTGGAGAGAGTCAGAGGAGATAACGAAACTGAACGGGAGGCTCTAAGGAATGGGTTCTGATTTCCGATGTGGAAAAATTCCATAAGAAGTGGGTTAGCCCCGTGTCTCTCAGGAAAAGCCCAGGGATCTATCTGGACCCTGCATAGAAGCTGCCAGGAGCCCTCCACACACATGCTGATGGGGTTCGAGACGACCAAGTCCATCCCTGCCGACCTCCTCCCCACTGTGGCAGAGAGCTGAGAAATCAGACAAGCGACCCAGACAGGTGAACACAAAACCTCAGTCCTGGTAAGGCCAGTTAGAGAATGAGGCTTGACCTATGGCCACACATGGCCCCTAATAGGTCCCCCAAAACTCCAGAGAGAAGAGAGAGCCTGCAAAAGGGGCCCTTGGGGAAAGAACCTAGGTAGGTAAGGCACAAGTGCCAGTGTCTCTTCCCTCATTCACCTTTCCCAGATGCGTGTGGAGACAGGAATGAGGGGGAGGAGTGAGGGTTGGTAGTCACCCTCCCAAGGCTGTCCTTTCCTGGGGCAGGCAGGGCCCACCAAGGAGGGACGTGGTCCCCAGGACATGAACATTTGCTCTTCTCAAGCAGTATCTGCTTAGTGCTCTGTACCAGGTGCCATGCTCAGCCCTGCAGTGGCGGATGGTGTTAATCTGGTGGGGAAGAAGACAGATACCAGTGGCACAGAGAGGGTGGCAGACCCAATCCTAGAAGCCCAAAGCTTAGGGATTTCCTTCTGTCTGCAGCAGGCAGCAGCTTCCTCTGAGGCTGCAGGATAAAGATGGTTACACAGCTCCCCGGATTCCCCTGACTCTTCAAAGACAAAGACACTACCTAAGTCCATGGGGTGGGAAAACTCCTTCACCCCACCACTTCTTTTTTTTTTTTTTTTTTTTTTTTTGAGACAGAGTTTCACTCTTGTTACTCAGGCTGGAGTGCAATGGCGCGGTCTCGGCTCACCGCAACCTCCGCCTCCTGGGCTCAGGCAATTCTCCTGCCTCAGCCTCCTGAGTAGCTGGGATTACAGGCACGCGCCACCATGCCCAGCTAATTTTTTGTATTTTTAGTAGAGATGGGGTTTCACTATGTTGACCGGGATGGTCTCGATCTCTTGACCTCGTGATCCACCCTCCTCGGCCTCCCAAAGTGCTGGGATTACAGGCTTGAGCCACCGCACTCAGCCTTCACCCCACCACTTCTATAGCACTGCTGTCACTTCCCCAAAGCACACCCAGGAGATGCCCGAGGACAAGAGGAATGCAGGGATGGGGAGGTGGGAGATTCCAGCTGCTCAGGCTCTGGTGTGGGGCTGCTCTGGAGTCTGAATTGGTCTTTTTTTTTTTCTTCGAAGAGTCACTGGAGGCTCCCTATGGCTTGGCACACGAAGCTGGAAAGAAGATAACTTCCTTCTGCCTTTTCAGAAGCAGCAAGGCACAGTGGTAAGACGACAGGATCTAGAGACAAATGAGCCAAAGCCAAGGCTGTCCTCCAGCTGGGTTACCTTGAGCAAGACATGTAGCGTCTCTCAGTATCTGAAAAAGAAAAGAGGAAAAACAACAAAATCTACTTTCAGGGCTGAGTGAGAATAAAATGAAATAGTAATTATGAGAAGACATCCTAAAGCATAAACTATAAATTATCATGAAATATTCAATATCACCATTATTTAGACATCACTGGCTTGCTCCTCTGCTCTGCTCCCATGACCTACGGATCTATCCCTTATATCAGAGCCGCTTTCCTACCTAGCTGGAGCTCCGGGGAGATGGCGAAGCCCGAAGGTTTAGGAATAACAGGACAACTGAATCCCCACCTGAGATTCCTCCTGGAGTTGCAAAAGCCAAATAGGCCTAGGGGACACGCAGGGACTCTGGGGGTACATACATAAGTGTATAGGGATTATGTGAACTGCACACACAGCACCAGAAAACACACACATACATGAACACAACACATAAGCACAGTGTGCCATGTAACAGAATAAATGCCTAGTGGATGAATAATTGAGGAGTGAGTTGTGCTAGAGGCAGACGCACTGGGCAAGAGATCCTGAGTCTTAAGTTCCATTCTGATACTGACTCGCTATGTAACCTCATGAGAGCACCTTGCTCTCTCAGGTCCTTCCTTCTCATCTATAAAATAGTGACAGTAACATCTACCTTGCCTACCTTGTAGGGCTTGTGCAAAGATAAAATAAAATACTTTCCCACAGGAAGCCGTCCAAAGTCCTATTTGTGTAACACCAGGCTCTCAGCCATCTGTAATGAACTACTTAATGAACAGCTTTTATGGATGTGTAAAAGCACTTCAAAACTCGAAAGTCTATCCAAATAGCAAGTACTATTTTTGTCTACTATTAACATGGAAACACATATGCCATGCAACACAGTACACATAAAGACAATTTAAGGACCTCAGGTACATAGAAATTGATTAATTATAATCCTTGATTCATGACACACTCTCATTGATCCACGCAGCTCCACTTTTATACAGTTAGTTAATAATTATTTTTAATAATGCAGTAAGCACCTGTGAATCCACTACCCAAAATAAAAACTAGAACTTTGACAATAACGTACATCTAACCAGCCACACACACTCCCCCAACCCCTCTGTTTCCCTGGTCCAAGATTCCATCATCCTGAGTCCTATATTCGCCTTTCTTTTGCTTTCCTTTTTATATAGTTTTATTTCATCATGTTCAAAGGTATCATAAAAGATGAAATTCAAATCGTCTTTAAAGGGAGGTAGCCAAGGGTGACTTTATCAACAAGAAAATAGAAAATAGCTGGTCACGGTGTCAAAGTATTCCTCACCTTCTCTTGATGATGATGATGACCATGTTTGTTGAGTGCTTCCTGAGTGACCAACATTGTGGTCATCCCTCTTCCTGCATTGCCTCATTTAAATCTCATGACCATCCATGGCTGAGATTGCTGGTTGGGTGGGTTAATACCTGTTTTCCCTCTCTTTGACAGTAAAGAGCTCCCATATTTAGCCTAAACATAAGACTGCCTGGAATAAAAATAACATTTCCCGGCCGGGTGCAGTGGCTCACGCCTGTAATCCCAGCACTTTGGAAGCCCAAAGTGGGCAAATCACGAGGTCAGGAGTTCGAGACCAGCCTAGTCAACATGGTGAAACCCTGTCTGTACTAAAACTACAAAAATTAGCCAGGCGTGGTAGTGGACATCTGTAATCCCCAGCTACTTGGGAGGCTGAGGCAGGAGAATTGCTTGAACCAGTTGGTGGAGTTTGCAGTGAGCTGAGATTGTGCCACCGCACTCCATTGACAACAGAGCAAGACTCTGTCTAAAAAAAAAAAAAATTACATTTCCCAATTGTCCAGCCTCCATTATAGCTGGTTACATTCATAAGATTAAGTTCTAGCCAATGATTTGTAAATGGAAGTGGTTTGTGGAGAGAAGTAGGTCCTTTTTCTCCTTCTTTTTTGTTTCCTGCTGGCTGGAATAAAAATTTCGCAGCTAGAGCCATCTTGGATGGTGAAGTGGAGGTTACAGGTTGAGGAAGACAGAGCAAAAGGACAGAAGGAGTCTGTGTCCTGGTGAACCTGGATCCGTCATACCAGCACTGAACCACCTACCCAGACTTTTACATGAAAGAGTGACAAAAATGGCCTTCTTGTTGAAGTGACTGATGGTCTAGGTTTTCTATCATGCACAGCCAAACCTTATCCTACTCTTATATAGCCGTATGAGGTCTGTACTGTTATCCCCACTTATCTGTTGTATAAATAAGAAAACTGAGTCTCAGAGAAATTAAATAACTTTCCCAGAGTTATTCCACCAGCAAAGGACAGGACCCAAGTCTTTCTGAGCAGACATATACTCACATATCCTTCTTAATGTCAGAAATATGGTAACTGCTATTTCTGGGTAGGAATCGCCTGAAGAGGTATGGGCTATTCTTTCCATTTTAGATCAGTGTAAATTTCCCACACCTCAATTTCCTTCCATCCTGGCCTAATCTGTTGCAGAGTATACGTCTATGTTAATTTGCATGACTGGGTTATATGATAGGCTACATCATGACAATATTTTTCTTCAAGATTCCCCCACTTAGCCATCACACCCTCAGGGAGTAAAAGTTTCCTATTTAACTATGACGTGGCATTATGAATGAGTGACAGAGGATGGAAATTTATGGAGGTGGATTTCTTGGAAATTTTCAGCTAACACTCTCTTGATGAGAGAGGGTCATCCACAGGCTGGCGGATCTGCACATGAACACAGATAAAACAG